GCCCGGGGCCTGCCCGGGCGGCGGGTCCCTAGTTCCTCTCGGGGACTGTCTTGCGGGCAGAATCTGCAGCCAGGGCCGCGTTGCTGGGCGGCTGCTGGTGGGACGAGATCCAGGGATGCTGCGCACGAACGCGTGAGCCTCCCGGGGCAGCGAGGTCCAGCGCTGCCGCACACCGGAGGGCATGAAGTCCGCAGCTGGCCCTTTAACACTTTTTTTTTCTGCTTCTCTCTGCTGTGAAGTTTTCATGTCTGACGCTGGGATGACTGTATCCGAGATGGGGAGGAGCAGCGCCCGTGTATGGTAACCCGGACAGCTCGTGTTCCAGACCATGGACTCACTGAGACACCCAGAGGTGTGAAAATGTCGAGTGGTAACCGAGCCCTCGTGGTAGACTTTATTTCCTACAAGCTGTCGCAGAGGGGCCACAGCTGGAGCGAGATCGAGGGAGACGGCGAGAACAGAACAGAGCTGGCCGGCGAGATGGGGGGCGTCCTCAACGGGAGCCCCTCTTGGCACCCCAGTCCCAGCCCCGTCGTAAACGGGGCCGCGGGCCACGCAAGCCACCTCGAAGGTCCGGAAGAGGGCCCCCAGTCAGACGTGAGGCAAACGCTGCGGGAGGCTGGGGACGAGTTTGAACTGAGGTACCGACGGGCCTTTAGCGATCTCACTTCCCAGCTCCACATCACCCCTGGCACCGCGTACCAGAGCTTTGAGCAGGTGGTGAACGAACTCTTCCGGGATGGGGTGAACTGGGGGCGGATTGTGGCGTTTTTTTCCTTCGGCGGGGCCCTGTGCGTGGAGAGCGTTGACAAGGAAATGCGAGGATTGGTGGAGCGGATCGCCACCTGGATGGCTACTTACCTGACTGACCATCTGGACCCCTGGATCCAAGATAACGGAGGCTGGGTAAGCATTTGCAAAGGACGGGAGGGGAGCACGGTGCCTCCTCAGTTGCCATATAAAGCCAGCTGCGCTATATTTCTAGCAGCATCTGATTCCGACCTAGAGTGGGCTGAACGTGGAGGTGTAGCCGTGTGCTGCTCGCAGAGGCAGGCTTTCTTGTGGCAAGAGAAAAGGGGTAATTATCTGTCGTCATGGCACCTTGTTTCTGGGAATTCCTCCCTTTCTGTTTGCAAAACGTGGGAGAGTCTGTGCCCTTTCAGCAAGATGGTACATCTGGCATTTCTGTCCGGGTATGCAGAAATGGCCTGCAGGGTTGAGGGTGGTACCCTGCCAGGCAGCATCTTGTTCACTGATGAACCCCAGGCTGACTGTTCTGCTTCCTGTGCCTGCCTCACATGCAAAGATCACTTTACTCAGTTGCAGAATTAAAACGTGGGAGGTGCTGTCTTGCCCTCCGTCCAGCTGCAGGACTGCCTCAAAATCTTGTTCCTTGGAACAGGCTCAAAGGCCCATTGTCTGCCTTATCTTGTTTAACCTGGCAACGACCGTGGATGCAGAAAGATGGAAACTTAGCCCCAATCTCCAGTGAAGGTTATGGCGGAGCTCGGACTTTTTTTTGCCCTCCATACGCACAGGACTTCTTGGCCAGCACACTGGACCAAGCTTCCACTTCTGGCTTCCAGAGCTCTCCTTCAGGCTGAGGAGCGAAGTGAAGCAGTTAAACCCTTGTCTAGCCTCCAGATGGGCTTGAGTGGAGTTCATTTCCAAACCCCAGAGCCCATGTTGGTCGTTACAGTAGAGTCCCAGGGATCACAGCTTATCCATTAGCCGGAACTGTGAATGGTCACAAGCAGTCGCTTTTCCAGGGTGCGCAGACCATTGCACAGCTGCGGTTATTCAGTGTTGTTCCTGAACTATCCAGACCAGGGAAATTTTGAATAAAGAAGCTTCCAAAATGTTGTTTCTTCTACAGCTGCAACATGGGATGGGAAAGAGGCAACACCTTGGAATTTCAAAACTTTTTTGTTCTGAATTTCCCTGATGACCATTTGCCTCCAGAACACCTTGGTTGTCATTAAACATCTGTTGTTGCCGTGGTTTCAGAATTCATTCCTCTGATTTGTTTTGGGACTGGATTTGGGTCCAGAGGTGAGGCCAATGACTGGAAAGAGGTGGCCTGGCCTGAGAGTCTCTGGCAACCCTGGCTTCTTGATGCATGTTGGCTCAGAGATGGAGGAGACATTGTCTGAGTCTGAGATTCCTCACCATATGGCGTCCCCTTCCTTAGAAGCAAGCCCATCCTGTGTTTCACGCCCAGCAAGTATGACTGGTCAGCCTGCCTCTGACCAGCAGGAGCTCCAGGGGCTGAGTCGCTTCCTGGAAGCCTTGTGCATCACTGGGGCTATGCGCAAGGCAGCATTCACCCTAGGGGCGTTGCCATATGCTCTTCCTCTTGGGGAGGTCAGAGTGGCAAGGGGTAACTGGAGACTCACTTGGGCTCCCCTCCACTTTCTTTGGGCCCCTGAAGTCTCTCTCTCCGGCAGACACTCCAGTTACACCTCTTAGCTGCGATGTAAGAGAAAGGAAGCCTCAGTGCCCAGACTTAGGTGTGCTCCCAAAGGCCACCGTAGGGCCCTTAGGTGGAGCTCAGCTGAAACTATGGCCTACTGGAAAAGGAGGCCCCTACCGGCCAGCGTGCCAAAGGTATCCTCCCCATATCTCTTGAAACGCTGTTTGCCTGGGTGGGCTTCGGACTCCCTTCTGGTCCATTACCTTCCAAGCCCTGGAGTAGAGGTGAAGAGGGGACTCTCCCTGCTGGTGTAAGCACCTAATAATGCAGAAGGCAGATGGGGGATTCCCTGTAAGGCAGTGTTTCTCAGCCTTGGCCGCTTGAAGATGTGTGGACTTCAACTCCCAGAATTCCCCAGACAGCAGGGAAT